CGAAAAAAAAAAAAAAAAAAAAAAAAAAAAAAAAAAAAAAAAAAAAATCTATAATTTCTCAACCCCAGGAAATAACCACTACTTACATTTTCATGTATTTTATGTTAGCCTGTTTATAAAATACGCAAGTAAAAGTTCTTTATTCGTGTATCAAATCACAACAATTTCCTCATAGTTTAAAAATTCTTCTTTAATCACATCATACATTACCTAACCTGTCACCACTGTCAAATAATGGAGATGTACTTCTATTTTGCCAAGACTTTTTTTAATCATGAATAAGTGCTGAATTTTATATATTTTTGCCACTTACTGAGATGATTATTTTCTAATTCTGTTAATATAGTAAACCCCACTGGCTGATTTTCTCATTTTAATACAAGTTTTGCATTCCTAAAGTCTAATTTTAGTCCAAGTTTGCATTCCTAAAATAAAGCCAACTTGATCATATATTTTTATGTATTTGCTTTGCTATTATGTTGTTTCAATTTTTTGCAATTATATACATAAAAGAAATTGGCTTGTAACTTAATACAACCTTGTCAGGTTTTAGTATTGAGGTTATACTGGCTTGAAACATTGAGATGTGAGCCCTCTTTTCTCCTATTATATGGAAAGTGTGATAATAAGATTGATTTTATTTCTTCCTTAAATATTTAGGGAAGTTCAGGGCTGGGCCGTTAGCTCAGTTGGTTGGAGCAGAGCCTTACAACTCCAAGATCACGGGTTCAGATCCCTGTACCAGCCACAAAAACAAAAACAAAACAAATTAAAAATATTTAGAGAAGTTCAACTGACCAAAGAAGGAATCATAATGGAAATTAGAAAATATTTTGAACTGAATGACAATAAAAATATAAACTACCACGACTTGTGGGATGCAGTTAAAGCTGTACTTAAGGGACATTTACAACCTTAAATGTGTATACTACAAAAGGAGGAATGAAAAATCAATGCTCTGCATTCCTATCCCAAGAAGTTAGAAAAACAGCAAATTATTTTTTTTTTTTTTTTTTTTTTTTTAAAAGATGACCGGTAAGGGGATCTCAACCCTTGGCTTGGTGTTGTCAGCACCACGCTCAGCCAGTGAGCAAACCGGCCATCCCTATATGGGATCCGAACCCGTGGCCTTGGTGTTATCAGCACCGCACTCTACCGAGTGAGCCACAGGCCGGCCTCAAACAAGCTATTTCTAACACTGCTTTTTGGCATTCGGTTAAACGCTCTATTTAAAATAAAAATTAAAAAGTAAATATATTTTAAAAAACAAGGGGCTATTAATCCCTTGGGTTTAAATTAAGTCAGATGACTTTCCATTTAATAACTAATCAGCTCGGACACGGCCCAAAGGATGGACATTTTGATGGTGGTAATTCTAGGAATGAGGGATGGCAGCAAATATTGTGAAGGGCATGTTAACAAGTTCAACTGCTGGGTTACTAAGACTGTTGACGGTCCAAGGCTTAAGACCAGCCTTGGACCTTGAGGGCCTAAAGTTCAGAACCTGGAAATGTGGGAGTGGTGCAGAAAAGAAGGTTGGAAGGTAATAGGAAGTGCTGCTTAAATTCAGCAAATTAAATCCAAAGAAGGTCGGCGGTATGGGGCAGGGAATCAAGGTAAGAGCAGACATTAATGAACTGGAAAACAAACATACAAAAGAGAAAACCAACAATGCCAAATGTTGATTGCTGTAAAAGCTAATAAAATTGACAGACCTCTAGCAAGAATAAAGATAAGTCACAAATTACTAATATCAGGAATAAAAAAGGGGGACATATCTAATAACACATTAGAGGGAAAAGGAAACTTGTCACATAAAATATAACATTTGAATAATCCTCTTTCTATGAAAAGAAACTAAATCTGAAAATAAAAACTTTTCCACAAAGAAATCTCCAATGTCAGATGGCTTCTCTGGTAAAAAAGACCCAAACTAGACAACTAAGTACAGATATGTATTGTATTAGCTACTCGGCTAATAATACCAAGCCTCTTTCCACCATTCTGCTCTTACAGCTACATATCTTGGTTTAGAAATGCAGTTAATGGTCAGTGAGAGTTCACTTTTAAAGTACAAACATCCCTGTGAGACAAAGCCTATTAATTAATAAGTAATAATAATTACCTATTAATAATACCCCTTAAGCCTTATATCTTAGTGATCTATTAACATTTTGGCAGAGATTATTATCTAGTTGGAAGTAAGAATGATACAGAAGACAAAACCTCCAGTTTAGGAATTCTTAGAGCAAGTAGAGAACACCAAAGCAGGAGATGTGAAGAGATCAAAGATAATCATAACAATCACTTCAGTAGGACTAGCAGGGCCACCTGAAATCATCTTATAAAGATCCCTTCTACAAAGACATAATTTATCTAACCTCAACAAATAAAACAATTAATGCTCATATTTACAGATAAGTAACTAAGGATCAGAGTTTAAATCCTCAAAGTTGACAAAAGTCAAAGGAACAAAGCATGCAAACTATAAAGATATCTGGCTTTTATCTTGAAGGCAAGAAAAAGCCACTGAATTGTTTTGATTAGTGTAATCGATTTGCATTTCATGAAAATATCTCTTAACTAAAGAGGTAGCCAGCAAGGGAATGTCTCACTCACAGGTTGAGTTGATCTGTCAAAGCTAACTTAGCTGGACATTCAAGACATTAGAGGCAACTTACCAAGTATTCTGAAGCAGTCAGAGCAAGTTTAGTGGGAGGTGAGAATGAAGTAAAAAGGGCAAACTGTATTGTGCAGAAGTGGGAGCCATAAAAAATTAAGATGTGTATTTGTCACCTATTGCTATGATACAAAATACCCCAAAACTCTGGTGCCTTAAAACAATAAACATTTATTTATCACACAGTCGCTTCCACAATAGCCTATTTGTTACTCAGGTCAGCCCTATTCAGTGTTGCAGAGGACTATACAAGGAAGTGAATATAAGGAAATGAGGATCATTCAAGGCCACCTTGGAGGCTGACTACCATAATATGCTTCCTAATATGTATATCTTGTGTAGTCCTCTCCCATAATGATTCTGGGTATGGCCATGTGACTTATTTTGACCATAGGGACATTTGCAAACCTGATGCAAGGGAGGCCTGATAAGCACTCACACATTGCAGTCCTCTGTGGGAAACCAGCCACCATGCTGAGGATGCCAACACTATCCCAGAAAGAGACCATGTATAGAACCCTGGAAGATGAGACACTACATAAACAGACCAACCATGTGGAGAAGAACTGAAGTGCCCTAGCTGAGCTCCCATCTAAATTTAGCTGTGAGAGTGACTACTGAAAACACCTCATGAAACAGAAAGACCACACAGTCAACTCTAAGAATTGTGAGAAATAATATCTTTAAGCCACTAGGTTTTGTTTTTACTACTCAGCAACACTTAACTGAAACCACATTCATTCTGCTCTCTTTTTAAACATGCCTTTCTGTTTTACTGACGCAGGAAAGCTAAGAATACATTTCCTAGGTTCCCCTGCAATAAGGCTGTAGTTGAACTTTGATTTACCCAATCAGAAGTACTTATTCAAGATCTGGAAAACGGAAGTGCAGAAGAGGTCGTGCTACTGTTGCTTCTGCCATTTTCAGCCGGCAAGTATGGAGTGGAGGGTGTATGAACGTGTGTGTGTGCAATTGCTTTTCACTGACTAGTTGCTAGTTTTGTGAAGACAGAGAAAGAGGAGGCATTCATTTTGTGCTCATACTGATCTATTAAGTGTGTGAGGCTCTGTAGTAAATTGTGGC